GTGACCTCTCCTTTCCTGGTTCTAACCTCAGCTCATACTACCTCAGTGGACGAGTTGTCATCAAACGTCCTTTCTGCCACCGTAATACTGTCCTTGACTAACAATGCCACACCTCCCCCTCTTTTACCACCTTCCCTGATCGTACTGAAACATCTAAACCCCGGAACCTGCAACAACCATTCCTGTCCCTGCTCTATCCATGTCTCCGAAATGGCCACAACATCGAAGTCCCAGGTACCAACCCATGCTGCAAGTTCACCCACCTTATTCCGGATGCTCCTGGCATTGAAGTAGACACACTTCAAACCACCTTCCTGCCTGCCGGTACACTCCTGCGACCTTGAAACCTTATTTATGACCTCACTGCTCTCAACCTCCTGTACACTGGAGCTACAATTCAGGTTCCCACCCCCCTGTTGAATTAGTTTAAATTGTTGAATTAGTTTTTAGATTTCCTTCAATAGTTTTGTGGTCATCATTAGATCCTTAATTCCAGATTCTTTATTGAATTCAAATACCGCCATTTGCCATGGTGGGATTTGAACCCAGGTCCCCAGAACATTGGAGTCATAGAGTCATGCAGCATGGAAACAGACCCTTCGGTCCAACTTGTCCATGCCAATCAAGTTTCCCAAACTAGACTAGTCCCACTTGCCTGTGTTTGGCCCATATACCTCCAAACCTTTCCTATTTACGTACCTGTCTGAATGTCTTTTAAATGCTGTAACTGTACCTGCATCTACCACTTTCTCTAGCAGTTCATTCCACATACGAACCATGTGAAAAAACTGCCTCTCACGTCCCCTTAAAATCTTTCTCCTCTCGCTTTAAAATTATGCCCTCTGCTTTTGAACTCCCCTATCCTAGGGAAAAAGACCTTTGCTATTCACCTTATCCATGCCCCTCATGATTTTATGAACATCTATAAGGTCACCCTCAACCTCCTTCACTCCAGTGAGAAAAGTCCCAGTCTATCCAGCCTCTCTTTATAACTCAAGCCCTCCAGTCCCGGCAACATCCTTGTAAATCTTTCAGAAATCTCTCCAATTTAATAATGTCCTTCCTATAGCAGGGAAACCAGAACTGTACACAGTACTCCAAAAAAGTGGCCTCGCCAAAGTCCCAGGCAACCTCAACATGATGGCCCAACTCCTCTACTCAATGGTTTGAGCAATGAAGACAAGTGTGCTAAACGCTTTCTTAACCACCCTGTCTACCTGTGATGCAAACTTCAAAGAACTATGTACCTGAACCCCTAGCTCTCTGTTCAATAACACTACCCAGGGCTAGACCAATAACTATACAAGTCCTTACCAAAATGCAATACCTCACACTTATCCAAATTAAACTTCATCTACCACTCCTTAGCCCACTGGCCCAATTGATCAAGATCCCTTTGTAACTGAGATAACCTTCTTCACTGCCCACTACACCAACAATTTAGGAAGCATTTTTAGTAAGTTTGTGGATTACACCAACAATTTTGGTATAATCCACAAACCTTACTAAAACTGCTTCCTAAATTCTCACCCAAATTATCCATATAAATAACAAACAACAGTAGACCCAGCACTGCTCCCTGCGGAACACTGTTGGTCACAGGCTGAGTTTCTGGATTAATAGACTAGCAATAACACCACGAGGCCATTGCCTCCCCATTTCCTCTCTGCCTGCAGCTTCTTAGAGTGTGGGGTGCCTACCTCAGCAAACATACTATCCACATCGCCTTTGGTGCACCTCTGTGCCTCAGGCTGACACTCAAGTTCAAAAGCTTGGTGCTCAAGCTGTTCGAACAGGCAGCACTTCGTACAAATGTGATCATGCAGACTCACGGGAGCATCTAGGAATTCTCACATTCTGCAGATGGTATAACACAGTGGCTTGGGCTCCCGTCATATTCAGTTAAATTCAAAGAAATTTACAGATAAGACTACTAGAAAGAAAGAGATAAACTCTTACCCTGTAGAACCTATATGCAAAAAGCTTAAAAAACATTAAAAACATTATAAAAATACTATCCTCGTGACAATCTAGGCATTAAGCCATTTCTGTGCTCCTATCCTCCAGTATTCCCATCCATTGAAGTGAATAAGGGAAAATTGCTAGAAACAAAAAATTCTGGAGATCATAGCAGTTCAGGCAGCATCCATGGACAGAAAGCAAGCTAACATTTTGAGTCTAGAGATGACTCTTGATTGCTGCTGGTGATCTCAGAAATGGAACTTTTTCCCAATTCTTTCGTAAAAAAATGCAAATTTAGAAACATGTTTAGAACATTTCTCGCAAGCAATACAGTTCAGTTCACAAGAAAATGAACATTTTTGTTTAATATTACAACATTTGGGGGAAAAGTCTTCAGAAAAATCCAGATGTAGATATTCTTGAATAGTTATTATAAAATGAGTAAATCTTACTTAAGTTTTTCTGTTACAACTGGAACAAACCTCAACTCTCTTTTATACGCCTTAAATGAGGAAGTATGTATTCTGAAAAGACAAATCCTAAGGCTTTAAAATATCTTGGACATTTATAGACACTAAACCAAAAGAACTGCAGATGCTGGAAATCTGAAACAAAAATAGCATTGCTGGAAAATCTCAGCAGGTCTGGCAGCAGCAGAGAAATCTGAGTTAATGTTTCTGGAAATGTGAACTATACTTTCTCTGCATAGATGCTGTCAGACCTGCTGAGATTTTCCAGCAATTTCTGTTTTTGTGGGACATTTATAGTATAGGCTTACTAAAATTAAGCACTCTGTTTGGACGAGGGTAACATTCTTGAGTATTTTTTTCCATTGTGGGAAGGTTATTTTATTTCTACAGCCAGAAAATTAAGCGTTGATTGACTAGCTTGAATTTAACAGACAAATATTATCTGGGAATACTCCTAATCTAAATAAGAGTTAAAAGCTGTAAACTGCTTCAGAAGCTACTGCATTGTTCAACATATTTGGAAATAATATGTCAACTTATATGGTTGCTTCTTCTGTTTTTATTTTCAGCTGTGATTTCCCATTGTCTCTTTGTCACAAATCTATGTGCTCAACACCATTGCCTTGATTTACCTCCTCATTGCGTTGAGAGGTCTCCAGTATTGAATGCTAGATGTTTGAAAAGTATGCAGTCCTCACAACTGGGTCATAGCGACATTAGCAGAAACCCAGGAGTGAGTCTGTCTAGCTTCTTGGTTGCAAAGGTATAAGTCAATAAGGGCGTAGTTTAAACGAAGGTTAAATGGAAGCAGAACATTGTGGAAAGCTCATTGTGGGCTTTCCATAGTGGATGAGAAAAAAAATAGCCTACAATGTCTATTTGTCATCTGTCAAACTTCATCATCAGCACAACATGTTTGTTACATAGAAACTACAGCATTCTTTGAATACTGTTTGTTATTGGCAACACTTTCCTCCTACCTTATCAGATCAAATACTGGAGTTCAAACTTTGCAAGTACCACTACTTCTAAAAGATTAAACAGAACCCCACAACATGATGTTGCAACTGTACAGGATTAGCATTTAAAAACGGTAGCCATGAGGTACTCTCGTGGATGGTGATATTTATAATGTCTTGTTGCTAGCACATGTTCTTTTTTTGACATTCTAGTGTGCATGCAGTTTTATCAGAGAAAATAAAACTCACCCATCAGCTTATCTTTTATGAATGTTACTAATTTCTGCCCACACTTAATGTATGTTAAACTCACATCCACCGGCTTCATCTTAATCCCATGTCAAAAAGTACATTCAATAAAGTTAGTCAGGCATCAAGGGGGCTCCAAATTCTAAAGAAAGCAAAATCAAGACTGTTCAGTATCCAACATCTCTATTCAGGCAGCAGCTTGAAGGCACTGACAACAAGGGCTTCCATCCTTTTGGATGGCCAAAGGGCTATTAGGGACGCATAAATAGAAAGTGAGTGCAGCATCGAATTTATGAGCTGAATTTTCAAACCCCACCACTCAAGTTAGGATCAGATAAGGTGGAAGGGGTGCCAGCCATTGCATCTGTTTTAAGATGCTGCGCCTGGTGTGGTAATGTTAACCAGGATTAGCGAGTGGGATATGGATTCTGCTGTCCTCCTCATTGAGGCCAATTAAGTTATGCAAAGAAGTTAAGCAGTTGTTGGACTGTGAAGCCTCTCTGATTCCCGCCAGTCTGACGGAGACTCACTTAAGGGAAACATCAAGAGGCTCTTTATCCTCATGGTGTGTGGTGTGTGTGTGAGAGAGCGAGAGCGAGAGCGAGGCCTCCCAGTCGTTCTTATTGCCTATCACAGAGGTCTTAGATGACAGCACGTGGGAGAGGCTGGACCAGCCATTATCTATGGATGAGCTGACCAAGGCCCTTGAGTTCTTAGGAAAGAATAAAACTCCTGGAAGTGACAGCTTACCGGCTAAGCTGTATTCACTGTTTTCTGCTCAGATCTGCTGTCAGTGCACAGACTCATAAGTATCTCTGACCTGTTTGAACTGGCCTCGGGAGCCAAGGTAAATTGAGGCAAGAGTAAGGACATGTTCTTTGGGATCTGAGCTGACCAATCCTTTATCCCCTTCACCGTCAGGACAAATTACCTGAAGGTGGTAGGAATATGGATCGGAGGGTCCGGGCATGCGCAAAATCTTGGGAGGTGCACATCGCCAAGGTGAGGCGGAAACAGGTCTTTTGGGAGCGACGCTCCGTCTCCATAGCAGGTAGAAACCTGATCATTAGGTGACAGGCATTCCCTCTGTTATTGTACGTGGCGCAGGTCTGGCCTATTCCCCAAAACTGCGTCGTTGTAGTCACCCGAGCCATCTTACACTTCATCTGTACATCTAAGATAGATCATGTCCGCAGGAACACCATGTACAAGAATCTGGATGGGGTAGGGGGGAAACAATGTACCCAACACTGCCCTCATCCTGATGGCCATCTTTGTGTGTGGCTGCATCAAGCTGTGCAGACACCATCAATATGCAAACACCAATTATTACTACATACTGAGGTTCTACCTGTCCCCGATATTGCAAAGGATGGGAGTGGCCTTGTTGCCATGGAGCACTCCAACTAGTTGGACCATTCCGTATCACCTGCCCTTCATACAGACATTTGCAAAGAAAAACAGCTTTGACCATAAGCCCATCAGGAAGTGGTCAGCATGTAGTGTCCATGAGATCACCACATGCTGTCCTTGAACAGCTGCGGCGGCAGCGGTGGTGATGATGAGACCGTCACACATCTCCTTCTGGAATGTGCCTTTAGAAAGGAAGTCCGGAGAAAGATGCAGTGGGTTTTGTCGAGGTTCATCCCAAGCAGCTCCATGTTGCAGGACTCTGAGCTCTACGGGCTGTTCCCTGGGACACACAGAGACAAACATCGACTGTGCTTGGAGGACCATCAACTTGATGAAAGGTCCAGGACTACATGCTGAGGGACGCACTGAAGCTGCCACCAAGGAGCAGTGGGGAAAGATCACTGTCTGAGGTCTTCCTGCTGAAGGTAAATAGGGGTTCATTCAGTTATCAGACCCTCCTGGTGCCTCAACTTTAATAAATATAGTCTGACTCAAGAAAAAGATGCCTTTGGTTTTTCTGGATAGAGTCAAACTCCAATGTCTGTTTGTTTCCATGATATTCTGCTGTAAAAAACTAAACTGCTTTTGTGACTATGTGCATGTATACATATATACATTTTAGGAGTATATTTTGAAATTTAAAAAAAAACTGTAATGAGGTCAGCCAGATGGATTTTGAAGAATATGAGTTCCCTGATTGGACCAGATTGACAGCCCCAATCAGGGAACCCTGGCTGACAAATAAGAACAGGGATGTCAGACATCCTGTTCACTCAGAGCTGGCTCTGAGGGAGCTGGATCAGTGTCAAGCACTTGCCACGTGTACATAATGGGTGACTTGGTAACGGGATAATGACCTCTGTGAAGTTATTTCAGTAGTTAAAGGGAGAAGGTGGAATTCTGAAGGAAGTGCATGGGTTTAAGGAGGTGTCCGTTGCAGATCTGCTGAGGGGAGTTGGGTACAGATTGGGGAACCAGTCATGGCTGCTCCAGGGTATTACCTTGGCCCCAGAAGGGCCAGTGTGGCTAAAGGGTTTGCTGCCAGAGAAGGAGGGACTGGATGCTCAGTGCTCAGGTATAAAACAGGGTCATCAGAACCAGCACAGCAGAGGCAGAAGAGCTAGGGGCAAGGTTGCCAAATCACAGGGTGACTACCTGCACAAAAAGAAGTATGCAGCTGACTGGCAGATTTTGGGCCCAGTGACAATGAGAAATAACACCCTCCACGGAGAAAGCAGAATCCTGAGTAGCAGGAAAGTATGAGGAAAGATAGGGGCTAGCTGGGGATAACTGGATCCAAGTACACAGGAGACTGAGACTCTCCAAACAGATGGTTACAGACAGCTATGGCTTAATTGCTGAAGACCTCACACCATGCCATGTCTTGCCAGTGCCCATCAAATGTGCTGTGGTTTTGGACTTCTTCACTTCTAGCCCCTTTTAAGAATCAGCTGTGGACTTTAGTGGCATCTTGCAAGTAGCTGCACGCCACGTTATCTTGAAAGTCACTGATGGCCTCTTTGTCAAAGTGGAACAGTCCCTTTATTTCTCAATGTGGCCTTGCAGGGATAGAGGGTTGTGGGTTTCACCACTGTTCTTGGATTCCATCATCGATTGTGCCTTGATGGCCATGTTGACGCAATTAAAATCTACTCTCTCGATGTTCAGCTAATCTGCAACCATACAAGGGTTATTTCCATGTGTGAGGTTAGTTTCCTGTCAGCTGCTGTGACTCCTCCATTCTCTGCCAGCCCAGCCTGCCTTAGATCTTTACTCCAATCCTTGATATTGTTCGAAAAGCCATTGAACATTTGAAGCGGTGGTTCTGGTATCCAGACCTATTGGCTGGCGCTACCAAAAACCATCTTGACACATATAATCTGGCAGACCGCCTATGGATTCCAGACCCTTCCATTTGGGCAGCCTATGCCATGCAGGGGCCCTTCTGGCAGCAAGGACTGAATTGAATTGAATTAGCTTTATTGTCACATGTACTCAAATCAGTACAGTGAAAAGTTTACAAGTTGCCACTTACAGCGCCATCTTAGGTACAAAGGTACTTAGGTACACAGAACTACCCTGTGGGAAGAAACACCCTTCACTCTCCTCACTGACGTCCTTCTGCCCCCCCACTCACTGCCTGTCTGACTGGCCCCAGAGAATTGCCCCAAATCACCTCTCCTCTGGGGCCTTTAGTGATAGTTCTAGTCTGGAGACAACTGCTGACAGTGCGGTAGCCATCACTCCCAGTGGCACTGAACAACTGCTGGCCCTCAGATTGGCAGGCAGCTCTTGAAAGAAGGACTTTCGCCTTCTGGGAACCCTGAGTGCAGGCAGCCGATCACCTAGTTCCATTAATTTTGTTGGAGTTCCTGAAAATGGCCATAGCAGGGATGGCACTGGCTAACCTGTAAGGGGACAGGGCCACCACGGCCATTACAATTTGGCTCTTTGCGTCACTTCACTTTATTGCCCATGCAGAAAATTCTGTATGGAAATTCATTTTGGGTACATTGCTTGTTCATTGAAAGATTACAAAAAAAATCAGTGATGACAATATGGAAAATAGTTTATCACAGAATTCGAAGGTTAATTAAAATATTCATTTAAAGAATTCTGGTGTAATTGAATAATCAGCCAGTGAATCAATCTTAAGCACGTATCCTCATCCGTACATTAGCTCCGGTTCAAAGTTATTTTGGAGGAGGCAATGAGCTCAGGATCCAGTTGATTCTGCATCAGAGGGATGTAGCCTTTTCCCTGAACACATCCAACAATAATACCGAGACACAGGGTGATTCTCATTGTCTGTGGCACTCTTTATGTTCACCAAAATTCTTAGAACAGATTACATCAAGGAAGATCAGCTCATCAAATACCATTCCTGCCTGGTTTAGTCATCACTGGACTCTTAAAGTTTGCTTCACCAAGACAGCCTTACCAGCAAGGCTTGCAAATTTGATAACACTCAACTACAGCCGAATAAAAGAGTTTCACAATTATCAGGTCAACTTGAAAAGATTTTGATTTTTTAAGATATGATATCATAGAATCCCTACAGTGTGGAAACAGGCCCTTCAGCCCAACTAGTCCACACTGACCCTCAGAGCATCCCACACAGACCCATCCCCCTATAACCCACCCAATCTACACATCCCTGAACACTACAGGCAATTTAGCATGGCCAATCCACCTGGCCTGTGGGATGAAAGCAGAACACCTGGAGGAAACCCAAACAGACACAGGGAGAACGTGCAAACTCCACACAGGACAGTCAAGGGTGGAATCGAACCTGGGTTCCTGGCGCTGTGAGGCAGCAGTGCTAACCACTGAGCCACTGTGTCACTCCATTATAGCTATATAATGCCCATATTATAGCTATGTTTGTCTCTTGGCCAGCACATCTGTGTATAACTCTCTCCAGCTCAATCTACCATTCATGTAGACATCAAGGGTGCAATTTACTCCTTCCTGGAGGTGGTGAGAAATAGGCAAGTATCTTGTCAGGGCCAACTCACCCAATCATTTCCCCTTGTCACCACCTCAGCAATTAAGTTCTGGATGAGCTGTTTCAAAGATTCATACAGGACGGAAACAGTCCCTTCGGTCCAGCCAGTCTATGCTGACCATAATCCAAAACTAAACTAATCCCACCTGCCTGCGCTTGGCCCATATCCCTCCAAACATTTCTTATTCATGTGCTTATCTAAATGTCTGTTAAACATTGTAACTGTACCTGCATCCACCACTTAATGAAGTACATTCCACACACGAGACACTTGCTGTGTAAAAAAAAAATTGCCCCCATGTCTTTTTTAAATCTTTCTCCTCTCCTTAAAAATATGTCTTATGGGTGACATTCTTGACCTGCCACCAATTAAGGTCCTTAATTGTTTAATTAATGATCACTTAAGGGCCTCAATTCACCACCTCCCTGGCAGACAATCAAGCAGACAGGTTGCCCTGATTTTCCAGTCAGGAAACTAACTACCTTCACCTGTTGACACTCAATGACCTAATTGGTGTTTGATACAACAAGTTATCTTGGCAGTAGGAGTGGTGTGCTTCTCACTACCGAACATGCCTACCCCTGACTTTGAACAATCATGGGAAATTACACCATAGATTTTAGATCTTTTAATATGCACGCAATTATTCAAAATTGTATCTATCAAGAACAACCTGAACTGGGTATTTTTCATTCATAAATCCAGTTTCATTCAAAATTGCTCCTGTGTCCCGAGTGCAATGACTTACATTCTTTCATCATGCCAATATCCTGGCATCGCTTGAGTCTACATGCTTGACAATGTCTTCTGTTATCCTTTGTAATTGAACAGTTGCCATTAAAAGGACAGGTAAAATTGGCCTTTTTCTTCATGCTTCTCCTGGTGAGGGTAGAAATAAGAAAGAAATCAGTGACTAAAATTATAAATATATAATTAAAAAGGACAGGTACAGACCACACTAAATTTCCTTCTTTAAAGATTGTGACATCAATTTTAGAAAAAAATGAAAGTAAAGGTACCAGGCAATCAGGAAGCACCAACAACTAAACAAGGCTGCCTGCCATGCAATGTGCAGATGGA